CCTCAGCCTTCCGAGTAGCCGGAATTACAGGCGCACGCTACCACGCCCGGCTGATTTTTTGATTTATTGTAGAGATGAGGTCTTGCTGCCCAGGCGGGTCTCGAACCCGGGGCTCAGGCAATCCACTCACCTCAGCCTCCCAAAGGCACGGGATTACAGGCTGAGCCACCAAGCCCGGCTAGAACTTTATAACATTGGATTTAGCAATGATTTATTGAACATGACATCAAAAGCACAGGCATCAAAAATAAAAATAGATTAAATGGACTATATCAAAATTTAAAACTTCTGCACATCAAAGGACACAATCAATTCAGTGAAAAGGCAACCCATATAATAAGAGAAAATACTTGCAAATCATACATTTAATGAGATTAATATCCAAGTGGCCATAAGCACATGCCACCATGCCCGGCTAATTTTTTGATTTATTGTAGAGAGGAGGTTTCATTAAGCTACCCAGGCAGGTCTTGAACCCCTAGGCTCAGGCAATTATCTCACCTCTGCCTCCTAAAGTGCTGGGATTACAGGCATGAGCCACTGCACCTGGTCTTTGTATCATTTCCTAATATCAAAGATGACTGCTTCCTCTTTATAAGTTTTTAAAAAACATATTTTCAAACTTTCTCAATTTATTTTACTTATATTTTTGATAGAATTTGATGGAAGGGAAGAAAACTCAGGGTAGAATGAAGAAAATGAAATCCTTTCATTGTAATTAATTTTTGCAAGACATTGAGGCAAGTTAGGATGACTCTTGAACTCCTTCTGAGAATAGTAAATGACCCATCCATTTCAGAAGACTTCATAGAAACTTCAGAAAGCCAAATTCATAGTCCTAGCAGATGGCAAGTATTTTAAAATATTAAGGGAATTGGCTCCAGTTTACTTGAGTGAAAAAGATTAGTCTACTTGAAGTAAATGAGATTTGAAAATGCAAAAGTTCAAAAATCACTTAGATAGCAGAGTATTTGGGGATTAGCACAAACTTTCCCAAGCATTCTGCTAATGTTACTTTTTAAAAACCCTATTTTAGGTTCATATAACTTACTACCTTTTCTATCTAAATAGATAGCCAATATGTGAAGAATAGTTTGAAAAGCACCATGATATCAGTGCTGACAAGCAGAATACAGAGATGGGGGTAAAAAGACCAAAACCATCTTCAAAGATGCCACTTTAAGTGATCATGAAAAGAACAAGTAAAGATAATTTTTTTTTTTTGGCATATTCAAATGTTAAGAGTTCAAAGTAAACTCTTTTGTTTGTTTGTTTGTTTGTTAGAAAACGTCTCACTCTCTTGTCTAGGCTGGAATGCAGTGACACAATCATAGTTCATTGCAGCCATGAATTCCTGGGCTCAAGAAAGCCTCCTGCCTCAGCCTCTCAAGTAGCTGGGACTATAGGTATGTGCCGCCACATCTGGCTAATTTTGTAGCAATGAGGTTTCACTATGTTGACCAGGCTGGTCTAGAACCTTTAGTCTCAAGCAATCTTCCAGCATCAGCCTTCCAAAATGCTGTGATTACAGGCTTGAACCACTGTTCTCAGCCTCAAAGCAAATTCTATTACATATTTTTAACATGTTTACTATCTTCCTTTATTTGAAAAATAGGTTTATATTTTCCTGACTATAAAAATGTTGCAAAAAATCAGAAACTTAAAGAACACTTAACTTTTAAAAATTGCCTGTAAACCCCAGAGTAAATGTTGTATAATCCAACATTTATAAAGAGCCCTAAAGCATGGGTTTCAAGTTTTGTTTCTGACCTTATCTTTGTTCACCCCCTTGTGGCCATGATATGAAAAAGCCAGGCAGGCCGGGCTCGGTGGCTCAGCTCGGTAATCCCAGCGCTTTGGAAGGCCGAAGTGAGTGGATTGCCTGAGCCCGTGGGTTAGAGACCCGCCTGGGCAACTTGGCAAGACCTCATCTCTACAATTAAAAAAAAAAAAAAAATAGCCGGGCGTGGTAGCACGCGCCTCTAGTTCCAGCTCCTTGGAAGGCTGAGGCGGAAGGATCGCCGGAGCCCAGTAGGTCGAGGCTGCAGTGGTCGGGAGCGGCCACTGCATTCCAGTCTGGGTGACAGAGTGAGACTCCCACTTAAAAAAAAAAACAACAAAAACAAAAAACCCAGGCAGCAAAAAGGAAAAGGGAACAAAGTAAAGGACCTGGATAATAAACTGATCTTGTCTCACTTTAACACTATTTCTAATAATTAAAATACATAGGCCGGGCTCGGTGGCTCAGCCTGTAATCCCAGCACTTTGGGAGGCCGAGATGAGTGGATTGCCTGAGCCCGCGGGTTCGAGACCCGCCTGGGCAACTTGACGAGACCGCATCTCTACAATAAATCAAAAATTAGCCGGGCATGGTAGCGCGCGCCTGTAGTTCCAGCTACTTGGAAGGATCACCGGAGCCCAGCGGGTCGAGACTGCAGTGGCCGGGAGCGGCCACTGCACTCCAGTCTGAGTGACAGAGTGAGACTCCAACTCAAAAAAAAAAAAGATACATAGTTCTACTTGAAATCCATATAGTAGCCGGGCTCAGTGGCTCAGTCTGTAATCCCGCGCCTTTGGGAGGCTGAGGTGAGTGTATTGCCTGAGCCCGCGGGTTCGGGACCCGCCTGGGCAGCGAGACCTCGTCTCTATAATAAATCAAAAAATCAGCCGGGCGTGGTAGCGCATGCCTGTAATTCCGGCTACTTGGAAGACTGAGGCGGGTGGATCGCCGGAGCCCAGCAGGTCGAGGCTGCGGTGGCCAGGGGCGGCCACGGCACTCCAGTCTGGGCGACAGAGTGAGACTCCAACAACAACAAAAAAGAAATCCATATAGATTAGGGTCTTGGCAAAAAAAGAAAAGAAAACTAAAAAGGGGTGACTTTAACTTATCCCTTCATTAAACTTTCTTTGAACTATGGGTAGCGTTAAGGGAAACGGAAAGGAGTAAGGTATTGACACCCACTGGCTGAACCAAGTGGAAACCAGAAGGCAATCGAGAATTAAGTTTCTACAATCCTTAAAGGTCCAGCCTTCCAGGACACAAAACAGGGAGAAGGATAGAAAGTGATGAAGCTGACCAAACAGAGCAATCTTTCTTTTTTTTTTTTTTTTTTTTTTTTTTTTTTTTTTTTTGAGTTGGAGTCTCATTCTGCCACCCAGACTGGAGTGCAGTGGCCACTCCCGGCCACCGCAGCCTCGACCTGCTGGGCTCCGGCGATCCTTCTGCCTCACCCTTCCACGTAGCTGGAACTACAGGCGCGCTACCACGCCCAGCTAATTTTTTTGATTTATTGTAGAGATGATGTCTCACCAAGTTGCCCAGGTGGGTCTCGAATCCATGGGCTCAGGCAATCCACTCACCTCAGCCTCCCAAAGCAGAGCAATCTTTCTAAAATCTTCCGTTATATATTTAATTTAGTTACATTTGTTGTTTTTTTTTTAATAGAGATGGGTTCTCACTATGTTGACCAGGACAGTCTCCAACTCCTGGCCCCAAGCAATCCTTCCACCTTGGCCTCCCAAATGCTGTGATTACAGGCGTGAGCCACTGCGCCTGGTCAATATTTCATTATAATTATAGTTTCTTCTATAAGGCATGTGTCCAAGGGCTACATTATGGAAAAACGTATAATTTGGAGTTGAATACCTAAGCAATTTCTGTGGCCTATCTGGAAAATAGCAAACATAACAGAATTTCACACTATCTGAAAACATTACTCAGGCTTTTCTCCTCCATCTAATGCCTATAGAGGTATGAGATCAAATGTGAACAAATAACTATCTTCAGAATAAGACGAGACAAAGTACCCCAATGCGTCAGTAGCTGACGCTAGGGAGACTAGAATATAGGAGTAGCCCGGGCACTGCGTCAGCAACCCATGACAGGGGCTTAGAGTACTTGGTTCTTGCATCTCTTTTTAAAATTTTTGTTACTCTTCCCCGAAATGCTAACTCTTTTTTTTTGAGTTGGAGTCTATGTCACCCCAGGCTGGAGTGCAGTGGCACGATCATGGCTCACAGCAGCCTCAATCTCCCGAGCTCCAGCGATCTTTCCGCCTCAGCCTCCCAAATAGCTAGGACTACAGGCGTAGGCCACACGCCCACCTGAGTTTTTTATATTTTGTAGAGATGAAGTCTCGCTATGTTGTATAGGCTAGTCTTGAACTCCTGACATCAAGAGATTCTCTCGCCTCGACTTCCAAAACTGCTGGGATTCAAGGCTGTGCCACCGCGCCCGTCCGAACGCTAACTCTAAAACCGCACAGGGCAATGGCATGCATTGCCCTCAATTTGCCCTCACTAATCTTCCGTAGGGATCTGTTGTAGAGAGCAATGTGCAGGGTCAACAAAAGTCTTGGGCAATTCACTTCCCATTCCATCATCAAGAAAATGAGAGGCCTGGAGCTGAAGATCTCTGAAATCCTGGCTATAGCCCCAGTGATCAACACCGACAGCCCCCTCTCCCCGCCACGTTGTGGTGTTCACGGTAAAGCCTTCACGACAGGAGGAATGATGCAGTGTCAGTTAAATTGTCCTCCAACCCTTTTCACCAGAGGCAACACTCGGTTAAGTCTATGCGCTTTTTCCAGCTATTTTCTATGCAGAGACAGTATCTCCTCTACACACGCACTCACAAACAGGAGCCTTTTCATCTCATACGCCTTGGATAGTCTCTAGAAGAGTTTTTAAAGCTCTCCATGGGACCCGTTTCTCCCGAAGCGGGAGCCTCATTTGCACACACTACTTCAGATCCTCGTCCCTCTCCGTCTCATCATCCTTTACTCTCGTGAGGTTCTTGGCCTCCGTGGCTGCTCCAGCAACACCTACTTCACCACTTTCACTTCGCGGACAGCCCCCTGGGTGTGCACTTGACACACGCTCTAAGGCTACGCCTTCCAACCCGGAGCGCCGGGAGTGGAGAGCAGTGCTTCCGTCTCGCAAGTCGATTGGCTAAGACGTCTTCCCTCCGGTTGGCACCCAGGCGGGCGCGCAGTGATGACGACATCGGGCCGGCGGCGGCGGTGGCGGCTGGGATACTGGGAGGGCTTAGGGGGCTGCCGGCCTGACTGCGGAGAGCTGCTGTCATGGCGGCCGCTCTGTGGGGCGTCTTTGCCGTCCTGTTCCTGCTGCTATCAGGGGATGCCCAGAGCTCGGAGGTGCCCGGGGCTGCTGCTGAGGGATCGGGAGGAAGTGGGGTCGGCGTGGGAGATCGCTTCAAGATTGAGGGGCGTGCAGTTGTTCCAGGGGTGAAGCCCCAGGACTGGATCTCGGCGGCCCGAGTCCTCGTAGACGGAGAAGAGCACGTCGGCTTCCTTAAGTGAGCATCTTGAGGGCAGCGGGAAAGCGGTTGGGACGGAGGCCGGACTGGGATCCTGCTAGGAGAGCTAAGTGTCAGGACGGAACGACGTCGCTGTCTCCGACTGAAGGGGCGGGTGCCAGTAATGCCGCTAACCGTCTGCGTCCGGAGACCTTGGGAGGCAGTCAGACGTTTTCCACGTTGGGGTATCGTGTACTTCTGAATTGAGGGTGGCAGACGCTCGCCTCAGGGTCGGAGCAGTGGGGTCAGTTATTTTCAACCTCATTTTGCCCCCTGTGGGTACTCCTGGGCCCTGGTGACAGGTGGACTCTTGTCTCTTGGCGTACTCTTTCCTTTGGTTTCCATCTGGTTTCCCCAAACGGAGTCACTTTTAAAATTCATTTCAGTCTTTGGGTAGCTTGATATTTTGTAGAAAGATGCTAAACAAGTGGGAATTCTGAAAGCCCAGCGGGCCTCTCGTGATGACATGTACTGGGAGGCCTCTAAAAATTAATGAGCCCTCAAGTCCCTAATCAACATACTTTTTTTTTTTTTTTTTTTGCCTTGTGGGTGGGACTGTTGTTCTCTTTTACACTTAGGTTCCTCAAGGGATTTGCTATGTCACACTTTTCAATTACGTGAGACTATGGTTTTTCTACATTACTTACATGCTTCTTTTCTTTCTAGCTATTAGTGGACATAGGTTTCCTGTCTATTTTATGACAGGTTGAATCTGTTAGCACTGCTCTGTTTTATAAGACAGGTTAAATCTGTTAGCTGCAGTCTATGAAACTGCGAACTGAAATAAAATATTCAGAGAGAAAGTGTTTCCTTTGGTGGTTTTGTACACCAGCAAGTTTAAATGTGAACATTAGAGCTAAATCTCACTTGGAGACATGTTAAGATCATCCAGGTACTCTTGAATGAGAATTAATAATGAGAAATTTGCAACCAGTATTGTAATGCTGTCTGTCATTAATAATCTGTCATTAAGGCATTCTTTAGAGTTTACCCTAATTAATGATGTTTTAAAGATAAAGCTCTCATTAAGCTTTGGAAAATTAACCTTAGTTGACTATTTGGCCTCTCTTATCTTCTGCAGCTTTTGAAAAGCTCTTAATTTTTATTTATTTATTTAAGTCTGAGTCTCACTCTGTCGCCCAGGTTGGAGTGTGGTGGCATGATCGCAGCTCACTGCAGCCTCAACCTGGGCTCAGGTGGTCCTTTCGCCTCAGCCTCCCAAGTATCTGGGACTAGAGGAGCCTGCCAGCATGCCCAGCTAATTTTTTTGATTTTTTTGTAGAGACAAGGTCTCACTATGTTGCCCAGGATGGACTTGAACTCCTGGCCTTAAGTGATTTTCCTGCTTCAGCCTCCCAAAGTGCTGGGATTACAGGTGTGAGCCACCTTGCTTTGGCTGAATTTTTATTTAACAAATAACATACGGTCTGGCTCAGTTGCTCAGCCTGTAATCCCAGCACTTTGGGAGGCCCAGGCAAGTGGATTGCCTGAGCCCACAGGTTCAGAACCAGCCCGGAGACCTTGTCTCTACAATAAACCAAAATTAGCTAGGTGTGGTAGCTAGGTAGGTAGTTCTGGCTACTTGGAAGTCTGAGGCAGAAGGATCACCAGAGCCCAGCAGGTCGATGCTGGGGTAGCGGTGAGTGTGCCACTGCATTTCAGCCTGGGTGATGGAGTGAGACTTCAACTCAAAAAAAGAGAAAACATATTAGAACTATGTTTATTTAAGAACATATAAAAAGCCGGGCTCGGTGGCTCAGCCTGTAATCCTGCGCCTTTGGGAGGCTGAGGTGAGTGGATTGCCTGAGCCCGCGGGTCTGAGACCTGCCTGGGCAACTTGGTGAAACCTCATCTCTACAATAAATCAAAAGAAAAAATTAGCCGGGCGTGGTAACGCTCGCCTGTAGTTCCAGCTATTTGGAAGGCTGAGGCGGAAGGATGCCGGAGCCCAACAGGTTGAGGCTGCGGTGGTCGGGAGCTTGCCACTGCCCTCCAGCCTGGGTGACAGAGTGAGACTCCAACTCAAAAAAAAAAAGAACATATAAACAAGAAAATAGAGATAACAACCCTTCAGATTTTATCGTATCTTTTTCCAGCTTTTTGGGAAATCCTATGATATATTTTTAATAATAAAGTACATTATATAATACTTTGTAACCTGCCTTTTTCACTTAATATCTATGTACAGCTTTTGATACAATTTCTTGTTCTTTCATTTGTGTGTAGAAAGGTTGATTGAGAATTATATGGGAGTTTATGGTGACAATCTTGTTGGAAGAGAAGATACTCTGTATTGTGGCTGTTTTGAATATATTTATGCTAATTGGAGGTGGCTTGGGACTTGTTTAATGGAGACAGGAGAGTTGGGGCTGAAGACTCCTCACACCATTTCTTGCTATTGTCCAGGTGTTACATAAGCCATAGTTTATTTAACCGGTTCTTTGTTTTTGGACAGTTAAGTAGTTTTCCTTTTTTTTTTTTTTTTGAATAGGAGTTTCACTCTGTCGCCCAGGCTGGAGTGCAGTGGCTTGCTCACAGCCACCGCAGCCTCGACCTGCTGGGCTCAGGCAGTCCTTCCACCTCAACCTTCCAAGTAACTGGAACTGCAGGCATGCGCCATGACACCTGGCTGATTTTTCTTGATTTATTATAGAGACGAGGTCTTGCCAAGTTTCCCAAGCTGGTCTCAAACCCCTGGGCTCAGGCAATCCTCTCGCCTTGGCCTCCCAAAGTGCTGGGAATATAGACGTGAGCTACTGCACCTGGCCCTGGATTTCCATTTTTTAAACATAGATTATGTACTATATTTTTGGAACATTTTATTAAGAAAAATTTTAGACGTAAAATAAATGGAAGAGCTTTGTGAATCCTTAGGTACTCATTGCAGTCTACTGTTTTACTTCATGTCTTTTCTGTACCTCATTTTTTTTCTGAAGTATTTTTAGAGGATTCTAAACATAGCATAATTTCACTTTAAAAGCATTATTATATATTTTTAAAAGATAAGAACTTAAAAATCACATTACCATTATTGGTTCACAAAATAAATAATGCCTTAATATCATCTAATGCCTAGTCCATTTTTATATTTCCCCAGTTATCTCAAAAATGCTTTTTATACCATTTTTCTTTCTAATTAGAATCCAACAAGGCCTACATATTGTAGAGCACATTTTTAAGGCCAAATTTTAAAATTTGTATTGTAAAATTTCTATATTATCTTTCTTCTTTTTTTTTTTGAGTTGGAGTCTCACTTTGTCACCCAGACGAGTGCAGTGGCATGCTCCTGGCCACCGCAGCCTCTACCTGCTGGGCTCCAGCGATCCTTCCATCTCAGCCTTCCAAGTAGCTGGAACTACAGTCACGCGCTACCACGCCTGGCTAATTTTTTGATTTATTGTAGAGATGAGGTCTCACCAAGTTGCCCGAGCGGGTCTCGAACCTGTAGGCTCAGGCAATCCACTCACCTCAGCCTCCCAAAGCGCGGGATTACAGGCTGAGCCACCGAACTCGGCTTGTCTTTCTTAAGTGAAATATTTACCTTAAGATAGGAAATATATTTGCTTTTTTATTTAGATAATTAGTTCTGACATTATTTGTGTTGCACAGTCATCACCTTGTTTTTTTCTGGACCTAGAAAAATGTTTTGAAATTGATTCAGTCATTGTTCTATCAAGAAGCAGAAGAGGCACTCAAATTAGAATAACTGAAAGAGAATTTAATGAAGGTATTAGAGGGTAGTTTAGTGTAGAGAACCAACCAGATTGTGTAGTATCATAGAGCTTACAACCTCAAGATTATTATTACCACCACTAAGCGTGAAGAAGGGAAAGTGAAAGTTACTGGAACCTTAAACGGAAGAAAGGGCTGTCTTTAGAGGAACTGTACCCCTTGACACAGCCAGTCTGAGGTGGTCTGTCAGTGAGAGGACTCTGGGGGAAATATGCTAAGCTCATTTTCTTTCCTTCTTTCAGTCTTCACATGAATGGTGGAGAGCAGATCTGGAGGGCAAATGGAAGATTTACATTTCAGTTCTGTCTTAGTTTACTGTGTATTTTGAAATAACAAAGAATACTTGTTCATCTCACTTTTTAGTAAATACTGTGGATATGATCAGTATGAATTATTCCTTTAACTGTGAAAGAGCCTCCTGATTTAAGAAGATTTTTTTTTTTTTTTGAGTCAGAGTCTCACTCTGTCACCCAGGCTGGAGTGTGGTGGCATGCTCACAACCACCCAACCTCGACCTGCTGGACTTAGGCGATCCTTCGCCTCAGCCTTTCAAGTAGCTGGAACTACAGGCGCATGCCACCACACCTGGCTAATTTTTTTATTTATCATAGAGACGAGTTGCCCAAAGTTCCAGGCTGGTCTCGAACCCCTGGACTCAGGCAATCCTCTCACCTCGACCTCCCAAAGTGCTGGGATTAAGGGCAGAAGCATTATTTTAACATGTTATTATGACACTGAATTCTCAGATAATGGTTTATCCTTTTAGAACCATTTGTTTTCCTGAAACAGAAACTTATTTTTTTTCCCCTCAGAATAACAGTTTCTCATTTTCCAAACAAATTAATTTTGATCTGTGAAATGAAATTGTTAGCTCCTGATAAAATAGTTTTCTAAGCCTAGAAAGTTTGGAAAAAGTAAGAAAAAAAAATGAATAGTTTTAACTACATTTTTATCTTCTACGTATCCAAAAAGAAGTAACCAGGCCAGGCGTGATGGTTCATACCTGTAATCCTAGCACTTTGAGAGGCCAAAGTGGAAGAATTGCTTGAGCCCAGGAGTTAGAGACCAACCTAGGCAACATAGCGAGACCTTGTCTTTACAAAAAAAAGTCAAAAAATTAGCCAGTTATGGTGGTATGCACCTGTAGTCCCAGCTACTCGGGAGGCTGAGGTGAAAGGATCACCTGAGGCCAGGAGGTTGAGTCTGCAGTGAGCTGTGCCACTACAAAGTAAATGGGTATTGTAAATGGGTATTTAAAACAAATGGTACCTA